GCCACACAATTGCGCTGTACAGCCAAGAAATCGCCTTCAGAAGGGCCCTGTCGACTTTGACGTTCTCAATAACCCTTCGAATCGAAGTCATCGAGTGCTCAAGAAAAACATCGGAGGCAATATCGAAGAGAAAAATTTGAAAGATGAGAGAAAAATTCTTCATAGCGAGAGGAAATGAGGGGGTATCCGGGCTTTTCCGAACGTCAAGAATGTTGTCGAGGGGAAAAATACCGCTTCATGGGTTTCCTTCCCACGCTTCTGCTCTGCTGGCTTTTTACCCTTAATATCCTAGATGTTGACAGAGATGAATTTCTAACAGAATGTGTACGACATCACCGACATCGGAAAGGCGAGGACACCAGACCCCTCGATAAAACTGCGGAAAGGAAGATGCGGAGCTGTTTTTTCGTTACCTCCCTGAATCTGCCATTACTTCACTTTCAATGGGATTGTCAATTTCGGTCGGTCTCGGAGGCGAACCGACTCCTTCCGCCACCGGAACCGACTTCAATCGATGATCTAATTTTCATTTTTGTATAGAATTTATATTTAGAACCTAATGACAGTTATAATATTTATAAATCGATATTGAGAGAACGCACAGATGCTTTTAAGCCCACTCATTCCCAGATTGCAGATTCAGAAAGTACATATATAAGAGAAGGGATACGGCGGAAGTTCATGATGTTTTCGTGACGTATAATAACCATACGCTGCTATGCATCGAACAGAGCAAAAGTGTTATTATTCAGCTCTGCCCGGCTTTTCTTCGAAAGCAATCATGCGTGTTCACCTCTACTTCCACTTAAGTTTCTCTAGGCAGCTCTAGAAGGGAGGTCTTTTTATAGCCATCTACGATAGGCAGTAGATAACGGAGCAGATAACATCCTACATTTAGTAAATTACAAATTACAATTATTCTTCATAGTTGCCTAAGAGCTTTCACAATATGACACCCTCTTGGCAACGATGTCTCGCTTTTCATTTTCACCCGTCCGTCAACTACAGCAAGCAAACGTTCCAGGCAGACTTCTACTGCATCCGCCCAAAAACTGCCCAAAGTTTCCCCAATATTCCACTGCAGTCCACAATCCAACCTATTCAACCACCAGATAATTGGAATATGAACAAAGGAAAACAAATAGTTCGATTGAACTCAAGGGATCAGGCTTGGAAATTACCAGGAAGTCACAAAAAACATCCAAGTTAATTAGCAAGATACGGAAATTATCCAAGAATCGGTTCGTCGATGCGGTTTTCCATTTTTAACACAAACTCTCACAGAAAGAACGGAAAGTATAGAAAATAAACAAATAGGATAAATAAATACAAAATTTGTGCAAAATCCTGGATGTTTGCGCTGTATGGTTAACTAGCACAACCAGGTCCACAGGCTTTGGTTCAGGCAACTCAATACAAAGGTGATCGGCCGCCCTGTCCAAGAGCTGGGCAGTTGGGAAGTCCCAAGCGTTAAGGCCTAACTTCGAGCAACTGTTACAGAATGCTGTAAAAGTGTTTTTGATTGATCTTCTCCCCACTTTTCTGGTCCAGGGGGCGTTGGCCCTAACCATATACATTTGCATACAAAGTAACTGAGTATCTGGTTCAGAAGATTTATGATCCTGAGTAAAAAAAAGTAAGAATCCCGAGAAATCCTGTCGAGAGGAATCATATTAACTTGTGAAATTCTTCTCAGAGCGTTTCAAAGTAGACAGGGTAGGATGATCGGGAAACTTTGGCCAAAAAGCAAGCTAATCTCAGCTTACTAGACTGTGAGCCCCATTTCGCTTCCGATTCCTAATTATTGATGTGTCTATGGGAGGCCTTCAGAATGAAGCGGAAACATACAGCTCGTAAAAGGGAAAAGAAGGCAGCAAATTCAGTATATTCGTGGACAATGGGACCCGATTCTTGTCGAATTTAGATGTTACGGACCTAGTGAGTCGTACAGCAAAAATATACGCCCTGGAGGCTGATAAATGAAGAACACACCGAGAACGACCAGGCAATTCATATCGCTGTGAGAGCTGCTAATTTTCGGAGAAACTTGACAGCAAAAGCTCAATTGCAGTGCAGGAGGAAGGCGTGGAGGAACACATAAGTACTATCTGCTGTGTGGGGGCTAGACGTGAGGAGGTGGGCAGAGGAAGGGCGTTCGGAGCCGTTCACGGTCCATTGAGCACTGGTCGGTCTATTTCTACATGCTCTTTCACTATATGCAATAAACGTCCCTCTCATTCATCCTATTGTATGTTAGAGAATGGCCATGGCAATGCCCACGAATTGCTTGGAGACAGAATTGCCTCGTCAGGTACCCAGCAAAGCCTCTTGAGAGGGAGGGATTCAGACCAACTCTACTGCACTATGTTGTCATCGCACTATGGATTGGATTGGGGTCGTCCTAAGAACTCCTTTTAGCGAACAGGTAATGGAACTTTTGTGGTATATAAAAATTGTCCTCTAGATTTTTTTCGCTTCAGAGATCTGCACTTCCCGATTTATTCTACTTTGTAACCATAGCGACTCAATGCAAATCTCGATTTTCAGGTTCGATTAGAATTTCCTTTCTTTTCACTTCCGATAGAGCCGAAAAACTGAAAGTAGTTCGCTTTCCTGCATTTTGGAAGTGTGCTCATGCGCAAAAGCAACGCCAGAGCTGGGGTCATTAAAAAGGGGCCGGCTGCAGACGGGTCAGACAGTCAGCTTTTGTATGAACAGAGGAACAAAGCAGTAGAGAATTTTTGTAGTCTGATTCTGAAATCGTCGGGCATTTCCTGTCAAAAAATCATTTTCTGCGATATCCACTATGGCCATAACGAAGATGTGGGGAAGACAACCTCACTCAGCCACCCCGATAGAAACTCGATTACTCAACGAGTGCTCCATTAATCAAATTATACCTGAAGTGCATCACCCGAAGTACAACATGGGATGTTTCTCACTATCCGATATTTCGTGTTTCTTTCCAAAGGAGTTTTGTGATATTTGAGTTCAGAAGAAAGCTGAGGATTTCAACGATCGGCCCTTTTTTAGGGTATCAGACGCGGTGGAAGGATTCTACACTGGCATCTAGACTTTGACGGAATGTTAGACAAAGAAGACTTCACTGAAAAACTCCGTTGCAGCAGCTTTCAAGGAATACGACTTGAACAACTACTGAAAATTCTCTGAAATTCCAGAGTCAGTTGCAGAGACTCACAGAAGCATGAGCAATCAGAAGTTTGCAATGGAGAAATCATTCTAGAAGAGAATATGCTCTCCGGGAAAGCGATTCCAGGAAGAACCGGCAAGAAGATACTGATTATTGCTATGTTCTCTGTAAAGACCACTTCTGAGAATTGAACCTGGAGGTCCTAATAGCCATCTTCAGTGCTACATGCCCTTCAGAAGTATTCCACGATGCTGGCCATAAGAATTTGAATTCACAGAACAATTCATCTCGGCACATCCCCAGGCCCCCTACCTCCACCCTTAGTATAAAAACGGAAGAGCATGGCGATTTGACTGAACCTCCCACCACCCGGAGCCACTTTTTCAGAACTCAGCTCTCTTATCCGAAGGAATTGAGCAGAACAACAGAATGACTAAGCTTGTATGTAGGTTGATGCACTTTTCAATCAGTGCCAGAGCAATTTCACATCATAAATGTAAAACGAAATGCGAAATTCGTTACAAGCTGCTCCCCTTGAAATGAACGCTTGCTTTGCTGCCACTTTATGAGATTGATCTGCCCCACACAAAGCAACGTGAAAGGAACGTGGGAAACCACCGCAAAACGGATGGAGGCTTCTTCACTGTTCACCCAAGGGTCCTTTTCGTTGTCATGGTGCCGCTACTGTCGTGATACCTCTTCGTTTTGAGATTTCTTTCTACACACACCTACCCACAGTAGTATAAACATTCAAACACGGAGCTATAGTAGTTGCGAAAAACTCAAACAACCCTCCTTGAAGATTGAAATATCACACACGAAACTCAGAAGAAACATATAAACACGCATTCGACAGATTTGGAATCGCAAGAACTATTTCGCAAAAGCTAAGTGACGGAGGAGATGGGAAGTTGCGGAAGGTCATGTAAAACTACGATTTCCATGGAAAATTGTGCAACATTCGGTTCTCAATACGTGTGCAGCTAACAGAATCATTTGAACAATAAATATGTGACGAAACAGGTGGGCAAGATGGGGACGGTAATAGGGCAGGCGGGGCCAGAGACTTGTGAAAAGGAAATATCGAAAGTATTTCAAAGAAGGCGACAGTCATTATATTAATGCTTGGAGGAAAAGTGTCAGGAAATAGGGAGGGCCTGAAAAGGGCGCATATCTCACAGCATGACCAAATATCACATAAAATACTACCGTAAGAGTGATTGGAAAGTGTCTGCAAAAGTTTCACGGAGGTCCAGACTTGATCGGGGTTGTTTTGAGAGTTTTTATGGGAGCTTCACATAGGAACGCTACTAACCTGTAGATGCATTACATATCGGGGGAATTCATGAAGATGCAGTTGATTACCAGATCGAAACCATCTCCAGCCCCTTCTTGATTCGGCCTTGAACCCTTGGGACGAGGATTGCAGGGAACCCTTAAAAAGGACTTTCGAAACCGAGTACACAAGGACTGCAGAGAACCTTTGAAAAGGAGGCTCGAAACCGAATATTGGCACAGATTCGATAGGCTTTAGTGGCGTTTCCATGAAAACGTTCAATACATTAGAGAAAAAACCTGGACCAAGCGAAATTTTTGGCAGACACTTTCGACATCAATATGTACAAATTGTTACAAATTACAACTATGGACCCCCCCTCTAGGCTGGGGGTGAGTGTGGGGGGGAGGTGGGGGGGGGGNCCCCCCCCCCCCCCCGGTCTGGAGGGGGACCGATAGGTTCGAAAAATAGCAGAAGCATAACTACAAAAATAGGTGATGTACAACTCCAAAAAATAACAGAGTAGCGGATCCGTGAAGGTTATGGAAAGGTTCCGGGAAAGGGCGAGCACCATCACCAGCAGTAATAGATGTCTTCACAGCTGACCACCAAGTCCGGCACGGAAACTTGCAATCGTCTTATTAGTTCTTCGTGAGCTTTGGTCTGAAAAATACAACTAAACCAATGAACATTGAGATTGGAGTAGTTTTCCTGGGGAAGCAGTGAAAAGGACCTGTAAAAATTGGAGTTCACGCAAAGTACATTGCCCAGCCAGTTCCAATTTTTTCACGAAAGCTTTTTTTCGTGTCGTCGTGGCCTTCTTCACCTAAAGCAATAAGCACTCATTGAGACGAAAGCTTCGAAGCCTCGTTTGACAATGCTCTGAGGGGGACTGGCTATGGCTGACCACAGGCTTTTCAGAAGATGCGCTCGCTGCCTTCGGTTTCACGGTGCCATCAGCAGGTCGAGTGACCCGTTTTACTTTGGGCAGCTGGAAAGAGGGGAAGTTTTGCCAAACGTTGGACTTGCTAGATTTGAGCCTCACCTGCTGTTGAGCTGTGAGTCGTAGCGCTTCGATGAGATTATCCACTGATCCCACAGTGCAGCTGCTTATTCGGAGAGTTTCTATCGGATAGGCTGTGACAGGCGTGCAACCATCGAACAAAAGTGTCCAATCTCTGGAAAGCTCTCTGCAATTTGAAAATGTCACAAATGACAGTGTTGACAGTTACACAAAACCATGGCAAACAGCTCAGCGGAAGCGGATTGGGAGCAGCGGAAAGAACAAAAACTGCTCCTCAATTGACATCAACGACTAAGTCGATCAAGAACTTCCGCCGTCTTCAGCTTAGCTTTCGCTGTAGCGGTACTGAATTGCAGTAGACGTCGATAAGAAAGCTCGGATATTTTTACCAATTAAGTCTTGAGGTGCTACTGTGTTCAGAAAAATCAGTGGAGACCACCATCTACCAAGGTTCTCAAAAAGTCTATCACTTGGAGCAGTCAAAACTAAAGACTATATCTGGCTATGCCTCGACTCTAATTATGGCTCCAAAGAATTTGTCTATATCTTCTTCTTCTAGAAGATTCAATCGAACTGCGGTCTTTCTCAATCTCGGACACTAAACCTCCCTTACCATAGACTGCCGCTCTTCAGCAGCTACATACGCCTTATGCCTCCAAAGAATGGAATCATAAAACTGATCATTAATCTGGATTCTGAATGAATGTTGAGTTGATTTCACCTGACAACGATGCTTTTTGCTTTGATCCTCCGTTCTTTCATGATTCTGTACAGTTCGCCAAAACGAAGAGGTGGAAGGTCGAATTCAGTGCAAATAAGCTTGATCCTTCGTAGGACTACTGGCGACAGTTCGGCGAGTTGGGCAAAGATCTGAACAACAGCATTCGTACCCTCACCCTAAATTGTTACACATCTGAAAAAAGGTAAAAAGCAGTAATAATTTTAAAAGCTCGCAGAGTGGCCATCTGGGCACAAGTACTTGCACCCGATGTTGTCGAATTCCGTTCAAAGGGAACTGAGATTTCCCCTTCCCCTTCCACTTCATCTTATGCCAAATATATGGCCACGAAAAATCAGTAAATGTGATGCGATGCACAGGTAAGCACCAAAATTTCATTTTTACTTCACTACTGTTTAAGCCGAGCTATCCTTACTATATATAAAGCGCTCGCGTCTGTCTGTCCGCCCGCTTGTCTGTCTGTCTGTTTGCGCGGAAATTCAGAACTCCCGTACCAGTGGACCTAGAACGTTCAAATTTGGTAGGAGCACAGACGGCAGGATGGGAAAGCTTATGGTGGGTGGCAGGACCGCTAAGGATGGCACCGAGGGAGACCGTGGATGGCTGGGCTGCCCACCGTGGACGCCTTTGGGTGTGCCGCGGAAGGCATCGGGGCGGTGGTGCTCGTGGTGGACGGCACCNAAGCGGGGTGCCCGCCATAGACGACACCGGGGAGACGCGGATGGCACCGGGTTGGGGTGTCCGCCGTGGATTCCACCGCAGGTGCCGTGGTTGGCACCGAGGCGGGGTACGGTATGTGGTTTTGGTTCTTTAGTATGTTTCATTCGATAGGACGGGATGGTAAGTGGGATGACAAAAAGTTAGTGGTAAGTGTTGTGATAGGGACCGATTAAATCGTCTTTATTATGAAGCGGTGAAAGTCCAGTTCATTTATTGCTGCTATATTATGACCGCTACCAGCAAGGTTTGTACTCACTGAGGGATCACAGCTTCTCCTTGCTTTCATATTATCTGCTACAAAACTTATCCAACCGCTAATAATCTAGGAGCCCCTACTAATGATATACCATTAGAGAAAAAGTTCCCTTGATAACATCTATCTATTCTGCAGTCTGCTTCCTCTCGAGATAAAAAGGGTCACTAGATCTTTTTTTCAGAAGAAAGAGTCATTAGGCCTTTGGAAAAATTTGCTCATAAACATGGTGAGCACATCCAATTGTTGGTGTAGCCATAGAACGAGCTCTTTTTACTTTCTTACGGAGTGAATTTCTGTGAGTATCTGATGAAAAAAGAAAACACCATACCGATGAGCTCTTTTCAGCGTGAATTTCGAGACGCAGCGTCACTTTGGGATGTCGTGCCATGAAGGCGTTCAACACGGCTGCGACGTTCCGATAGCATCCAGTTGTGAGGTGCACTTGTAAAGTGAGGAAGTTTATCTCCTGGAATGGGTCCTTCATGATTCGAAGACTTTGTTATGCTAAAATTATGATCAGAGAACGTACGCTGAACAACTTCTCTTCTATCTGAAGAAAGTTTTCTGTAACTCTATCGTTGCAGTCAACGATAAGCAGCCACAGCTCATCGACATTCGAGAAGTACTTCCTGTTTTCATCCTTGTTTACATATACCTAAAGTTTACTGCCATTCGCTGTGACCCAGCATCATGAAAAACCAACTCACATGTTTCAGGTTCGTGAGGAATTCAATATCAGCGGTCATTCGTATGAGCGACAAACGTGATCTGAAAAACTCCATTGGACAAGGTCATCTACAAAGTTCTCGCTACCGGTATGAAGAGCTCAATGCTCATTACCGGTAGCTGAAAACGGTGGGTGCCCTTGCGAAGATATCTCGCTGCGTCGGTGGCCTCGAACGGTGCAACCTTTCGGCACAGATCCGTTCAGGGTTCAAAGATAACGGGTTCTGAAGAGATTGCCGTAGACAGTAGCGTGGCTTTGTAACAAAGCCCCTCATAACTTTCTATTGTTTGACAAATGGGTTTTGCACCCTTTCATTTTTCTCTAATTGTCCGTGTCGCTCTTTCAGATAGGTTGTAGAAGAGATGCTTGCATATTGGAAATAGAACGACTCGGACTTACAGGAGGGCAGGTATCCGCATGGTTAGATGCGGCTGCTGGACATCCAGAGGATTGCCGTCACCGGGGACACTGCCATCGAAAAATATCATTGCACAATACCTACATAAGTTCCTCGACTGACGACGTTGAATAAGAATTTCTGCAGCTTCAACCACCATAAGTTCCCTTCTGGCCCTAAGGTGCTAAAGCGGTTAAACTTCTCTCACACGCAGATCAGCATCTCTGCTTACCAGAGGGAGAAAGGGCTGTTGAGCAGCTCCCACAGAATGTTGCGACCTGATCCACGTCAGTGCACTAGGAACGCTAGCCGATTAATGGCGACAGCAAAAGAACGATCCCCTTAGTCAAGGAGCCTTCGACAATCGCCTCACTATGTTCTCCCAGGCTTTCCCTCTTTACTGTTTGAGAAAATACCTCCGTCCATGAAATTTTTAATAAAACTTTTAGTAATACAGAAGTAGACGATCCTCTTCGTTCTCTCACTTTCAACAAAAGAGCGGCCCAACTATCAAAGTGAATGATGGGCTGCCTTCAATGACGAACAAAAGTTTACACACGCAGTCTGAGTCACGAGTGGAGAGAAGTATAATAAAAAGATGGATTGACTCAGAGGTAATGAGAGCCGTCAGAAACTGGAATAATGTTCGGCTGTGACTCAGCTGATACTCATTCATATCAGGATAAATGCCTAAAATTTACAGTGAACTGATGGAAGGCTGCATATTGCATGATCGCCAAGCTGAGCTGCACGTAATCAACGTTTCTTTAGGAACGACTCACCTCCTTATGACTCCAGCCAGGAAATCAAACGCGTCCGGCGCACAGCTCACTGACAGTCGGTGGAACGGTACCACCTGATGCACTGACGGTTCCGATGAGCCGAACTGAATGGATTTGCTATAGACTTTCTTCGAAAATTCTAATAGTTCAAAGGTCCAAGGGTCAATTATGTGAGGAGCATGACACCGAGCCCAGTTCTTTTCACTTTCCTTTTTCCTGTCTATTGCCAGAAGGTCAGCCGCTCGATCACTAATCTTATGAAGAAGCTCAAGACATCAACTCTATCTGCCCTTTCACTATCCCAGTTACCCAGTGGCATTTGAAGTGCTTCTGATGGTGACTTTCTCGTGAGCGGAGCCACAGGAAGAAAGACTCTCAGATTATATGACACATACGTTTTTCAACCAGTCTGCCCTCAGAAAAAGCCGACTTTGGTACACCTTCCGTACTGTCTCAGGGTCGCTTCCCGAACGTTCTTACCCGGTCAATTGTGATCTCATGGACATTCCTACGCATTATGGAAAGAACGATGCTCTGCCATCGCCGACACACACATTCGGCTTTGCACAGTTGCTGATAGGACAAGAAGTCAAAAATTCGTCGCAGGACAACGTCCGGGAGGTTTGGAATGAGGTTCCGAAATCGCATCTACGCTTTAGGAAAGGATGAATAGGACACCTGGAATACGAAAATCTCATTATGGAGGTATCGGAAATGGCTCAAACTTCCTCCACTGTTCTTTCAAAACGACAGAAAAACCACAATGTCAAAAAAATGTTGTAATGCAGTGTAACAAACTATCAAAAACAATAGCAATAAGCTCTGCATCCAAGATTCTGGGATATCCCTTGGGGAAATACGTTTTGAAGCATGAAAGTTATTCAGAAAAGCTTTGGAGAATTTCATAAATCAATCGCTTTTACGAAAAAAAAACTGCGATAGCGACACAAAAAAAAGCGAGAGGGAATTAGGAACTGTATGGGCATGGGTAAAAGCTGTGAAGTTGCCACTACATTGAGTTGTAGGTACCAGGTAATTTCAAATCTTGCATTTCCAGAACAAGCAGCCTATGTAGGAGGACTGCCACCAAATTCTCCACCCAGAATAAACTCCCCATACAAACGTTGTGCATCATCGTTTACATTACCTTTTCTCATGAAAAACTGCCAGTTTCACAATCACAATGCCAATTTCAAAACCACACAATCTCACAAGAATAAGATGACTCCGACGAAGCGAGCAACTTATATTGGAGCATGAAAAATTCGGGTTCGAATGGTCCCCAACAAGGAAGGATAGAAGATGTTATAAATACAATCCGTGATCATCCACATCCACCATGCCTCGTGGTCGCCACTGTCCTCCCTTACAATTAGGCTACCGTGTGTTACTGTGCCTTTCAACAGGGCCACTCTGCGATCCACGTTCGACAATCAATGAAAGAGAAGTTGCAACATCAAAATATAGAAGTTCTGCCTTGGTCAGGTGCCGATCTCGACCCAATGAAATATCACTGAGGGATCAGTGAGGGAAAAATTTACGCAAGGGACCGTCAGTTCCAAACAACACAGCTGAAGCAGACAATCACCGGAGCTTGTTACAAGTTGGCGGTGGACTGCCCTGCTCTTCGTTCCTAGCAGGGCAGAGAGGTGACTTGATATTGACTCCGAATTAGAAGGAATCATAACCTGCTAATTGTTCCTCGTTTGCTATTAATACTGACAAATTGTACAAATTCTCAGCGACCTCGTAAATACGGGAAAGGAAATTTCTCAACTAGAAAAAAGTTGATCTAAAAGATGTTGCTGCAAAAATTTGGGTACGAAGTTTATTTATTCATTGGGACGAAACAACTAGTGGGGTTCAAAACGTTTGCTCTCAGTGTTTATCCTGAAAATACAAAATTTCAGCGCCACCTTGTACTTCTGAATGGCATTGTTCAAAAGAATACACTGCTTCTAGAGAAGCTTCGTTAGTTGCCCTACATGGAATATGCTAAAAAGTTCAGAGACTGCTATGAGCCCTTCATGAAACACGGATATGGGAAATGGAGCGCCTTTAGAGATTATCCCTAAATTTTCCGAAAATGAAAAGTCTCCTGATAACCCCTAGCTTTTGTTGAGGGTTGTCTTTGGGGGAATGCCGCTGCAGTACCTCGAATAGCAGTAACTTGTTGATCATGCGATCATGCAGGACAACTATCGAACTCGCACCTTGAGTAACTCGCAAAATCAACATACGGGAGAAATTACGGGGACATCATGTAGTGGGAGCTTTTCTATGCACCCAGTAACTGATGGTTAATGGTTCCTGCTTGTAGATGGGGTCGCTTTTTTGCTGAAAGGAACGGTCAGTGAAAACGTATCAGCAAGTGATGGGATCTTTTAGCGAAAATTCGAGTTTAAAACTGTTTGCTTCGATGTTTAGCAGCTAAGTCTTGTGACATCAACCAATATTACAGCATTCTATGATTTTTTTCAAACAACATGTGATCTGACCAGCTGTGGCTGCGGCAAATGTGATAGCTAGCGCTCAGACGAAATGAAATCGATGTAAAAAAAAAGCAGTTTTTTGAAAATACGAAAGTTTCATATATGAATGGGGACGTTACCGACTCAGGAAATCGATGATCAACGGAGGACAGGTGAGATAGGTGATGAAAATTTTGTGGATGTGGGAGATATGTGGAAGTATTTCGCAAGCATCAACCGAGTCATTAAGATCGGAGCTCAACAGCGTTGCTATTTGCATTTGCAGTTTTTTGAATCAGATCCATCGAAGAGATCCTGATCTGGATCAAAATGACGTGGAATGCTTGGGAGAAAGGGCCGGGACCGTACCACTCGTTTGTCGGGAAGCTCGTATTTGGGAAAGAGGTGAGGGGCAACCCAGATGGCGAGCTGACCGAGTTCGATGGAATCACAGGTAAACTGCGTTTCAGTTATTACATATATGCACCACTAACTACGTATAAATATCATTCCCTGCTGGGGGTAACAGAGTCTGGCGTTAGAAAGCATGGGATCCCCATCGTTAGTCTGTGGGGACGATGACATTACAGTGAAAGGGTTCCTACACGCCCCCTTACCCGCCCCTTCACCGTTCGCCGGAGCGGAAATCAACTTAAGGCACTAAGTATCCTGAAGTGGATTTCCGATTGCACGTTAGTGAATGAATGGCTAAGCACAGCACATGACAGACTGTTAAAACTTCAGAAGCAAAACAAATTGTGAAACTGACAAACCGAGAACAGAGTTTTCCCTAAACACATGAGAATTATGACAAAATTGTAATGGGAGACTTGGGAAGAAGCGTTCCACGTGATAGGGTTGTTGGGTGAGAATGTGCTCTTCATTCTCGTTCGCCGAGCAGGCGGCGAGTGAATGGAACCGCGAGCTTGGTTCAAATAAAAGCTCGCTCTCAAACAGCGGCGGCAAGTGTGTGGCAAATAGAAATTATAGGGAGGCACGGTACTACGCGACACCGGAAGGACTCTCAGAAGCTTCACTTTTCATTCAGGGGGAGCAGCAGCCTTCAGGAGTGAAGTACGTGTGTAGTCGTAAAAATGAAGTAAACAGTGTACAACAAGTAAACATCTGAGCGGCTATGACTAATTGCACTACTCTAAAGCCGTGGCTCTTCCCGTTCCATCGCATGGTTGTTGCCAACCAGTTCACTCTTGGCTTTGCGAAACTTTGAGATGAAGGGTTTGTCTGTTTCGATTCCCTACCTACGACCCAAAAGAAAAGTTACTACAAGGATTGTGATCAATTGACTGATCGACAAGTCGAGGGGAAGAACAATTGTTGTAACTGCGCAGGCCAAATTCTCTTTGGTATTGAACTACTTATATGTCAAGTTCGTAGATTAGTAAACATGGGAAGCAGAGAGCAGATTGTTTCTTTCATATCGTCGAGCTGGCTTTATTCTCCCTCTTCGACAATGGATATTGCCTACGTGGCCTTCTTTTTAGGTAATCCTTTCAAGAGGGTGGTGACAAGCGGGGTCTAGTTGGTGGAAGAGATATAGCACGGTGTCTTGAAAGCACAAGAAGGGGTTCGTGTTCCACCTGGGGCCAAGGATCAGCCCAAAACTCGTCAATACTGCGAGCTTTGACATAGCACGCACACTGTGAAAAAATAGCAAGAGAAGGTCGAGAAAAATTTTAAAAACATTTCCACTCAGAAAAATACCTTCGCAGTCTTCCTCTGCATACGAGCAAACGTCTCGCTACAGCCACATTTCCCAAGGGAACGGTAGGTTTAATCCTGCAAAGATCAGCCTTTCAACTAAAAGTTTTATATCATATATTTACATTTTTATTTATTTTACTTATTTTATTTATTTTTTTATTTTTACATTATTATTGATTATCATTTTTTGTTTGCAACTAAAATACCTTTTGTTTTATCGGGATGCTGGAACCATACCATCATGCAAGAGATGATTAGCTTCAAGTCCAGTCACTGATCTCACTGATTCTGCGGTGTGACTTTTCCAGTCTTCAGAGCATTGTACAGTCCTCTGCAGTCCTCGATTTTGCAGGAAAGCATAGCAATTTTTCTGAAATGAGGACAGCGTTGTTTGCACTAGTGACGAAGTATCGGACATTTTGGAGATACTGTCGATTAATCAAAAATTCTAGCCTTTTCTACCTCCATTTTTTAAACAGTTCGCCATCACATGTATCGCATTTCCTAGGTCGCTCTGAAGAGCGTCCAGGTTAAGCATGCGAGTTCCACGAACTCAACCCTCACTTAACATGGTTCTGCAATTAGAATGAGTAACAGACCGACACGATTACTTGCAGAAGCAAGCCGACAGAACAGTTAGTTTTCAGTAAGCAGACAAAGCTGTCTCCTCTGCTCCTCTTAACAACTCGACCGGAATTTCATTTTCTTTCTAAGTTTCTGCTCACGGAGATCAACAACAGTAGCTGCTCTACCTTTCACTGCACCATCTCGAGTCTGAATTGAAGCATGTTTCTCACTCCTCTTGCCTTCCTCCTACCCCTTTTCTTTTACATCCCCCTTCCCCCATACCTTTACTTCAAAACCTTCAATGACCTTGAAAAGGAAGATAGGTAAAGCAGAAAAACAGCGATAAAGCATTATGACAGAATGAGAAGAGAACTCAGAGACACAGGGAGACAACATCAAAGTGCGGGGCACTCTGCAAGGAGCAGTAGCTGCGACTGTCCACGGCTGTGGGTCGCCCGCTCATGGGCCAAAGTTCGGGAACATCGTTTGATCTGCTCAATTGTGCAGTTTTGATCAATTTTTTGCTATTAATCAGAGGCAACTTAAAGTAGAGCCCCACAAAATACCGGACCAAAGGCATCACTTGTGACATTCCAGGGACCATTGAGAACAGCACAGAAAAATTCACCAAAGGAGCTGTTCAACCGAGCAATCACGTCAGCAAAGTGCTCAAACTACTTCGTTTATTGAAGACAGTACGTGAAAGTGGCCTTTCTTAAATATCCAAGGTACCTACATGCTTATTCCGTGGTTACTTTTATCGGGTTTACTAAAATCGGTAAATTACGCATAAGCATCGATTTCCTTTGCTGGCGTACTGCCCATGTTTTCCATTGTTAATCAAATCAAACCCTATGCTGAGCCCCCTTTTCCGGCTCCTACCATGTG